GGGAGTGGATGGGGGCTGGTAAAAACATAGCTCAACTGTGTGGTTTTAGCACCCCTCCCCTCCCTCCTTAGGAGTCCAAGGAGTCTACCCTTGCAGTGGCCCCTCCTCTCCGCACTGCAAGAGTTTAAAAGCTCATTATGTCTAGGTGTGTAGCAATAAGGAGAAATACTCACCTTATTCTACGCTCCTGTAGGCCCCTCCAGTGGTGCGAATAATCCTCCACAGCCTCCTCTCTAAGCTGCTCACGTTGCGCTTCACGCTCCCCCCACCATGTAAGATGCAGGGTTCATTTACTGTAATCAATTAACATCATTACCTCCCTTCCTTCTTTTTATGGCCCCAAACCCAGAAAATTTCCATGTCTGTGTCCACTTCCTCCATCACATACCTGATGAGGAACATTACACCTACCTGCAGAACAGGAAGAGCTCCCAAAGCCTGAGAAGGGATAAGATGGATTTTTTTCAGTTCACACATACTCATCAAAGGGACTGTATATTTTTCACTGCCTGATGGTTATAGACATGGACAAGTATGAAATTTAAGTGTTTTATCACAGAACAGATTGCTGCTTTTTTTTAATTGAACATGCGTTATGGTATATGGCCTACTTAGAAGTAGCAGTTAAATGACATTAAACTCCATTAAAACACATATTCAAGTACACTATATTGCCAAAAGTATTGGTCGGCCTGCCTTTACACGCACATGAACTTTAATGGCCCCCCAGTCTTAGTCCGTAGGGTTCAATATTGAGTTGGCCCGCCCTTTGCAGCTATAACAGCTTCAACTCTTCTGGGAAGGCCGTCCACAAGGTTTAGGAGGGTGTCTATGGGAAGGTTTGACCATTCTTCCAGAAGCATATTTGTGAGGTCAGGCACTGATGTCGGGGGAGGAGGCCTGGCTCACAGTCTCTGCTCTAATTCATCCCAAAGGTGTTCTATGGGGTTGAGGTCAGGACTCTGTACAGGCCAGTCAAGTTCCTCCACCCTAAACTCACTCATCCATGTCTTTATGGACCTTGCTTTGTGTACTGGTGTGCAGTCATGTTAGAACAGGAAGGGGCTATCCCCAAACTGTTCTCACAAAGTTGGGGGCATGAAATTGTCCAAAATGTCGCCTTAAGAGTTCCCTTCACTGAAACTAAGGGGCCAAGCCCAACCCCTGAAAAACAATCCCACACCATAATCCCCCCTCCACCAAACTTTACACTTGGCACAATGCAGTCATGCAAGTACCGTTCTCCTGGAAACCGTCAAACCCAGACACGTCCATAGGATTGCCAGACAGAGAAGCGTGATTCATCACTCCAGAGAACACGTCTCCTCTGCTCTAGAGTCCAGTGACAGCATGCTTTACACCACTGCAACCGATGCTTTGCATTGCACTTGGTGATGTAAGGCTTGGATGCAGCTGCTCAGCCATGAAATCCCATTCCATGAAGCTCTCTATGGACTGTTGTTGTGCTAATCTGAAGGCCACACCAAGTTTGGAGGTCTTTAGCTATTGACTCTGCAGACAGTTGGCGACTTCTGTGCACTGTGTGCTTCAGCATGTGCTGACCCCGCTCTGTCATCTTACGTGGCCTTCCACTTGGTGGCTGAATTGCTGTTGTTCCCAGTTGCTTCCACTTTGTTATAATCCCACTAACAGTTGAGCGTGGAATATTTAGTAGCAAGGAAATTCCATGGATGGACATATTGCACAGGTGACAGCCTATCACGGGACCACGCTTGGAGTCACTGAGCTCCTGAGAGCGACCCATTCTTTCACAAATGTTTGTAGAAGCAGTCTGCATGTCTAGGGGCTTGATTTTATACACCTGTGGTCATGGAGGTGATTGGAACACCTGAATTCAATGATCTGGAGGGGCGTCCTAATACTTTTGGTAATATAGTGTATATACTGTATTCATAACTCAGAAAAGTCCCTTCTATTGCTCTCAGCCTTCTCCAAATCCCTTTTTTTTGTTGCTTTGATCTGACTTCTTGTTAGAGGGTGGATATGTTCGTTCTCCATGATCCTACTGTATGCAGGAGCATCTCACGCCTGAGATGGGCTATGGGATGTTTACTGTGCATACAGCACTACACATGACTTCAACTCACACTGCTCATTCCAAACAAAGGGAAGTGAGGGATAAAAGGAGAGGTTCGGGAGCTAATAGAGGACATTACAAAGAGGCAGTGAAACACAATAAGACACAATGTCATGAAATATAGATTAAAGGACCATTAGGTAGTGGATGTGTATGAATTATTTTCTGAGATTAAAGCAGAACTTCACCCTAAAGGGGAAGTTCTGCTTTATGTTCTCCTCCCCCCCATCCTCTTCTTCTTTTGGAACTTTGTGTGGGGAGCGGGTATCTAGTTCTCAGATACCCCATCCCACTTACACTGGAATTGATCAGGCGATTCCTCCTGAAGTTCTCCCCCTCCACCTGCAACCTTCTGGGACACATCACAGGTTCCAAGGGGCTGCAGGCCCATTCACACGGCACAGTGTGGCAATTGAGGTCCCCAGCGCTGGCATGTGTGGGAAGTCGGCTGTGACTCCATGTGACTTCACACACTAGACATGGCAGTGCCGGGGATCCGAAGACTGGGGGTAGGACTGGCCCGGGTGAGCACAGAGCCGGACCCCTGGACAGGTAAGTGCTCTTTTATTAAAAGTCGGCAGCTACAGTATTTGTAGCTGCTGACTGTTATTTTTTTTTTTTTTAAACCTGACGAAGGAACTGCTTTAAAGGATAATGTCACCTTTTAACAAAAAATAATAAATTCACTTTTTTTGCAGGTAAAAAAAAATGTCAAAACAAAAAATTGTCTATAAATTGTGCTTAGTACATGAAAATAAATAAACATACAATAAATTCACCACCGCTGCATTCACCACATATAATACAATATGTCCTAAAAATAAACACCAAAAATAGTTGTGCTGTGTATATCTCAATTAAAATGTTCACCCATATAGAGATTTTGAGTAAATAATTGCTTTAAAATTCATTGTGTAATATTCAGACTTAGTCTATATAATTCAGTAAATGAATCCACCATGAATTAGAGTGTCCATCATTCTAAAATACCCCAGTGATGTGAATCCATCACCATAACACAGCCTCTTACCAGATACACAGACCCCAAATTATAGGTGGTCTGACAGTATGAAACTGTATAGGTTTCGATCCGGATCATCCACCAAGGGAATACATGCGGTACTGCGATCTCCTGTTCCTAGTGTTTTTAGGGACTTGGTTTAATCACTTCCTGACCACGCTATAACCGAATGAGGGCTACAGTGCGGTCGTCCAGTTCTGGAGGGGCGTCATAGGATGTCCTCCTAGAACAGCGCACCCGGTGCTCTCTGTGATCGCTGTGTCCTTTGGACACACCTGATTACATGACATGGTAAAGCGCCAATCACAGTGGCCTTTTACCATGTGATCAGCTGTGTCCAATCACAGCTGATCACCATGTAAACACACTTGCTGGTTATTGGCAGTACTTTCTTCACGATGTCACAGCATGAGAAAGTACTGCCGATAACCAGCAACTGTCAAAGGAGACTTCTACACTGATAATCAGTGCCCTGATTATCAGTGTAGCCCCAAAAGTGCCCAACAGTGCTGCCAATCTATGCCCATCAGTGCTGCCAGTCAGTGCCACCTATCAGTGTCACCAGCCAGTGTCGTCTATCAGTGCTGCCTATTAGTGCTCATCAGTGCCACCTATCAGTGCCCATCATTGTCTATTAGTGCCCATCAGCTCCTCACAAGACCTCCTTCTCTCTAGTTCCCTGGTCTCCTCCTCCCATGCCCGCCTCCAGGACTTCTCCAGGGTGTCACTCATCCTCTTGAACTCCCTGCCCCAACCCATCAGATTATCACCTACTCTCCTCTCCTCTAGGCGCACCCTGAAAACCCATCTCTTCAGGGAAGCCTACCCCACCCTCTGCTAACTTGCCGACCTCCTCCACTCTTCCTACCACTCCATCCCCCACAGCTATCTCCTCCTGTGCCACCATCCCCTCCCTCCTAGATTGTAAGCTCCAAAAAGCAGGGCCCTCGATCCCCTCATGTTTTGCATTGTATTGGTATTGTTCTGTCACATGTTCTGTCCCCCTTTGTAATGTACAGCGCTGAGCGAACTATTGGCGCTTTTATAAATACTGTATAATAATAATAATCAGTGCCACCTATCAATGCCCATCATTGCCTACTAGTGCCCATCATTGCCTATTAGTGCCCATCAGTGCCACCTATCAGTGCCCATCATTGCCTATTAGTGCCCATCAGTGCCACCTATCAGTGCCCATCATTGCCTATTAGTGCCCATCAGTGCCACCTATCAGTGCCCATTATTGCAGCCTCATCAGTGCCTCTGCATCAATGCCCACCAGTGCTGCCTCATCAGTGGCCATCATTGCAGTCTATCAGTGCAGCATCATCAACACACATCAGTGAAGAAGAAAAATCACCTGTTTGCACAATCTTATAATAAAAACTAAGAAAAACGTTTTTTTTCAAAATTTTCGGTCTTTTTTTAAAAATTTGTTTAGTAAACAATAAAACACCCAGTGGTGATTAAATACCGCCAAAATTAGCTCTATTTGTGTGAAAACAATGATAAAAATTTCATATGGGTACAGTGTTGCATGACCGCACAATTGTCATTCAAAGTGTGACAGCTCTGAAAGCTGAAAATTGGGCTAGGCAGGATGGGGGTGAAAGTACCCGGTAGGCAAGCGGTTAGGCAGAGATGAATCTCCAATAGTGAGGTACCACTAAAAAGATTTGTTAAAAGCCAAAAAACTACTTAGCATATTCCCATACAAACAGTGCAGTAGTGTATAACCGCCACTGATGCCTGCTCCAGCAAGAATGGGTGATGTCAGCACAGACTCCTTCCCGCCCCAACGTACATTTCGTCTCAATAGTAGTTGTCAAGGGGATCAGTCATGGGATGTGCATTTTATATATTTTTTGCTTTAGGAGCCTGTAAAGCACGGGTGTCAAACTGGCAGTCCTCCAGCTGTTGCCAAACTACAAGTCCCATGAGGCATTGCAAGACTGACAGTTACAAGCATGACTCCCAAAGGCAGAGGCATGATGGGACTTGTAGTTTTGCAACAGCTGGAGGGCCACCAGCTTGAAACCAGTGCTGTAAAGCATTGCACAGTGACCAGCAGATCACTGGTGCCACGCAGGTCTCCTGCAGACTGTCGGTGTAAGCTGTCTGCTCGTACCTCGTACGGGGAGGCAGTTTTACACCGACAGGAAGAATCAATGAACTATCACAGCACTCAACAGCGCCATTGTCGTTAACTGAGAACTACAAACTGACAGCCGCAAAGGAAGTCGGCACTTGTAGTCTTTCCATTCACAGAACACAATTTCTAAAACTGTGATAGTTGGGAGGAAAAGGGGAGACGATCCCCCACTAGCTGTCACATTGGGGTACCGGGGGGTAACATGTTACACCCTGAATATAGCTGTAACATGTTACAAAAGGTGAACTTACCCTTTAAGGATATTGTTTATTGTCACTTTTAAGAAAAAATTTTGAAGGAATTGGACTAGTTTTGATTAAAATGTGTGATTCAGGTAGACTGCTAAAAAAAAAAAAAGGAAGAAGTAAAAAAAAAAAAAATAAAGAGAGAAAAAGAAAAGGATTACGGCAATGGTAAGCATGCTTGTATGAGCTGGGCAAAGTAGCTCTTGTTATTATCACGATGTAATATAACAAAGGATCAGCTCCTGATCTCACCACATTCTGGGGGCTTTACAGAGAAGTTGAGGGGTGATCTGGAGATTTATTTTTTATTGCATTCCAATGGCATTGTAAAGCTGGAGAACTTCTTCATAGCTGGATGTGAGCAGGAGTCGGAGATCGGAAGGCAGTCAGGGAGCTCATAGACATGCTAACCTCTATCCTAACAAAGTGCACCTGTACAAGTCCCATGAGGCATTGCAAGGCTGACAGTTAAAAGTTTGACTCCCAAAGGCAGAGGCATGATGGGACTTGTAGTTCTGCAATAACTGGAGGGCCACAGGTTGGGCACCCATGGCCTAAAGCTATCCACAGACAAGAAATGAAATAAACTAGCAGTACAGGGCAGACATGCTGGGCACATACAGGAGCACTTTGTTAGGACAGAGGCAAGCATGTCTCACTAACTGCCTTCTGATCACTAACTCCTGCGCACTTCTACTTCTGAAGAAGTTATCCAGCTTCTTTACCAGTAATACAAGTAGTGGTGACATCATCATTGAGCTATACAAAGCCTGAGCAGAGAGCACAGCTGTGGGAGGGACCCAGCAGACTCCACCCACTGCAGACTGCCTGCAGAAAACTACAGGAGGGGGCGGAGACAAGACCAGTCACCCTGGACAAGGAGAGAGGGCAGTAGTGACTGGTCTTTATGACGGGAAGTTCCTCCACAAAGGAAAAGCATTCGTATATGCTGTATTGCTACACAGATCTGGACAAAATGCGCAAAAGATACCAGGAATAACCACTTTACTGCTGCACTATAGCCAAATGATAGTAACAGCACGGCAGTCCAGTTCTGGCAACTACTACGTGATTTGCAGCTTCCACAGGGATCAGTCAGATATGAGATATGCATACTTACATTGGTCTTAGCCGGTATGCTCACTAACCTATGTAAAAAGATGCATATACTTACCTAGATTAAGCCCACCCCAGTCCAGTTACATAATCCTCGGTGTCAGTGAGCGGCCAATCGCAGGAGAGGAGAGAGCGCTCAACAGCGGCTGGGAAATGGCCAAGTAGTGATGTCACACATAGGCTCCCATAGCCCAGCTGCTCATTGACACAGGAAAGCCAAAGCTGCAGGATCACCTGACCGGATCAGTGGAGCCTGAAGATAGGTAAGTACACACATCTATTCTTACATAGGGTAGATGGGATAGGTAGCAGAAGGGGGGGGGGGCTTTTTAAGATCTAGTTACGGATAGGCAGGAATTCTACTGTAAGGCTCCATGTATACGGGACACTTCTGCACGATGGAAACTGACTGCTGGAAAACGTAGGTTAAAACGTCTGTTTAGTCGCATTTGCATACCGCATTTATGAGCATTTGCGTTTAGAAAGCGTTTTTTAAAGATAACCTCAGGAGACCTTCCCAAATGCCCAGAATGCACTGAAAAACAGTAAAAAAAGAACTATTTCACACATTTTGAGAGAAATAGAGAGAGTAGAAGCAGAGAGAGCAGTATGTGTTGAGATTATCTGTCTTTTTTTTTTTTTTGTGTGTGGTGTTTGGAATTGTTCCAGCTCATTTCTGTGCAGAAATTATTGCAGCTGTGTCCAACATATTTTCTTTCATCGAAACCTCAACGTATGGTGTACCGGGTTCATTTTGTACCGGGAAACCTTTACATACATTTTTCATGATGAAAAAAAGGCTGTGGACAGCATCTGGAAATGGAAGAGTTAAAAAAAAATTTCCAAACACAAACGCTTAGAAATGCAGTTAGCCGTGTTTACAAGCATTTGGAATTTGAAACGCTGATAAAATCTACTCCTGAACGCAAGTTTGGCACGTTCAAAAAAACGACTGTAAACTCAGCTGCCTGTAAAGGACGATATGTACATGGACACATAGGAAAACATTAGGGAGAGTTCAGGGGCTACTGATAAAAATGCAGAACAGCTCCTGAACGTGCGTTTATCAGCTGCAGTGTACATGGAGCCTAAGGTTTTAAGCTGCAATACATTCCATTGTTTGTTTTATCTTCCATGGAAGTGTTTGAAGTTGTAGCACTCTCTCTGATATCATCAGTGCTGAGACATATTGGTTGTCAGAGAGGGATTCATTGAAGATGTGTAGAGCACTGAATAGGTATTTGTGATAAGAACACGCCAGCCTGACTCAGCATTGCTGATATCACACAATGACTATGGAAATTGATGAAACAAGGACTGTAAAGCAATGCACAAGCACCTCTGTAAGCAAGTAGGACACTTGAAATCACAAAATCACCGAACGGATCCCACCATGAGAAAGCAGAACATTTGCTGTTTAGAAGATTAAAGCCCAACTCCAGGCAACTAAGACATTATCCGTTGCAGTGGTGCTGTGCTAGCGAGGTAATTGCTCCTTTTGGTCTAGGGAACGTGTCAAACACGAGGCCAAATCTGGCCCACTAGGCCATTTCATGTGGCCTTTGAAGTTCCCCTGCAGTTGCGGTGCCCCCCTTATCACTGCTCCAACCTTGTCTCAGCAGCAGAGAGGAGGACAGAACTCCTCCTACAGAACCTGCACTTCTCTGGGAAGCTGCACCTCTGCCTACCATGGTCTCAGCATTCAGCAGTGCCTGACATCTGACACAAGTCCTCCTCTGGTCCTCCTCCAGGCCTGCACTTTCTGCTTCCCAGATCCTCCCCGTTTCTTCCCAGCAGCAGTACAAGGTAAGGGGGTGCTGTGATGTAAAGACGTGTGGGGGACCCTTGAACTTCTGGTGGTGGGGGGCTTTCGACATCAGATGTAAGGGAGGATGGGAGACTCTTGACTTCTGATGGAGGGCTCTTGACATCTGATATAAGGGGAGGTGGGGTGCTCTGGACATCTAAGTCTTACAGATACAACTGGCCCTTTGGGGGCAACCGTAATGCTGATATGACCCTTGAAGAAATGGAGTTTGACATCCCTGGTCTAGGACAACAAAAAAAAGATTTACTTACCCAATCTTCTGCTCTTCCCAGCAGCTAGACCAGTTCCCACAGCTTCTTCTCCCCCACCCATGCTCCAGCAGTTTAAGGTCCTGAAGTAATCAAGACCAATGCAGGATCCAAAGCCCTGCATTAGATATGAAGGCATTGAGGGACAGTCCACCACCAGTGCGTGGAGGAGCACCATCTGCCGAGGGAGTGGAGGATCAAGTAAAATATTTCTACTCTCCCTAGGCACAACAGGCTATTAGCCCTTGCAGTGCCGGTGCAACCCCACTGCAAGGGATCATTTAAAATGTTCACAGATTTGGGCTTTAAAGGATATGTTCACCTTTTTACAAAAATAATAAAAACACATTTTTTTTGCAGGTGTCAGGTACGCTCTGTGCGCTCCTTTGGGCATAGCTAATCACAGATTGAGGAAAAGGGATAATCACAGCGGCCCTTTATCATGTGATCAGCTGTGTCCAATCACAGCTGATCACATGTAAACAAATGCTGGTTATCAGGAAAGCTGATAAATGGCTATCCTGTGAAAGTGGACATTTACAGTGATAATCAGGGCACTGATCATCAATGACCTAATGATCAGTGCAGTATATCAGTGACCATCAATGCTGCCTTATCAGTGCAGCTTCATCAGTGCAGTATATCAGTGCCATCAATACCTCCTTATCAGTGCCTCCTCATCAGTGCCCATCACTGCTGCCCTATCAGTGCAGTCTCACCAGTGCCTCCTCATCAGTGCCCATCACTGCTGCCCTATCAGTGCAGTCTCACCAGTGCCTCCTCATCAGTGCCCATCACTGCTGCCCTATCAGTGCAGTCTCACCAGTGCCTCCTCATCAGTTCCCATCACTGCTGCCTTATCAGTGCCCATCAATGCCGCCTTATCAGTGCAGACTCATCGGTGCCTCCTCATCAGTGCAGCAGATCAGTGCCACCCATAAGTGAAGCATATCGGTGCCCATCAATCGCGCCTTGTCAGTGCAGCCTCATCACATATCAGTGAAGAAGAAAAATTACTTATTTGCAAAATTGTATAACAGAAATTAAGAAAAAGGTTTTTTTTTTTTCCCCATAATTTTCAGTTTTTTTTTTCATTTGCTTAGCAAAAATTTAAAATCCCAGTAGTGATTAAATACCACAAAAGAAAGCCCGGGTTCACACTGATGTGGTCCAGAATTCGCAGTGTTTTCTGTGTGAATTCCGCACCGCATCACAATCGCACCCCGTTCATACGAACAGCTGCATGTGTGTATGTTGAGTTAACAACACCCCGAAATTGGTCCGCAAAACGCAGTGCGATGTGCAGAATCGGATCGCATAGCTGTGAATACCCATGTGATCTGATTCTAGTGCGGACCCAAAAAATGGTCCTGCACCTTTTTGGTGCGGATGCGGTGCGATTTGAGCCATACAAAATTTGCAAGTGATTTGCACAGGACTGCGGTGCAGCTCCTGTGCGAATCACATGCGATATACCGAACAGCATATATGTGAACCTAGCCTTAGAAAGGTGAACTTATCGTTTACTATTGTAAGAGACAATGTGGTTGCAGTGCAGTTATCAAACAATATGAGTTTGTATTCACCATTAAAATGATAGTTTAGATTTCTATTTTTTTTTAATTGATCCTCCTGAGTCAGCTGAATGATATGCCTCCATAAATATTGTCCTCTCTTGTTCACATCCAAAGTCTTGAATATAAAATATATATACATACATACATATATATATATATATATATATATATATATATATATATATAAACCTTGAATATATTTATGACTATGCCAAATCCCAAAACTATTTTAAAAACACACACACTTGAATTCCATCAGCAGAAGAAAAGTCACCAGCACTTGATGAATGAGGCAAAGCTGATTTACACCAGGAATCACAGATAATGATCTACTTCTCAAATGTCACCATTGTCTCAACAATTAAACAAAGATAAGAAAAAGCAGTTAAAGAGTTAATCAGCACATATGTGGCTTGTGTGTCTTCACACCTTTTTGTTCAAGTCAAGGACATGATTTCTTTGTACAAAGTACAATTAGCCCAGGAAACGTGCATAGCTCAGTTAGGGGAATCATGTTACTCATGGAAGGTAGGTAACGATCACATTGCATTGCTGTAAATGAGGTGCAAGGTTCCCTAAGGTTAATACACAGATCTGCAGAAAAACTGCGTTCTGAAATAAGTGTTTATTTATAGGTAACCATTCAGTACCTTTGTTAGAGCTGTGCGTTTATGCTACCTGTATGTTCACTTTCTGCACCTGAAATGTACTGATCATTCCCAGCATCATGCACACCTACGGGCAGCACCATGGATAGCATTGCATGGTATAATGATCGTATTCACTATAATG